GATAGTAATGCTAGGTGTTTATACAGAAGATCATCATGTGATCACGTAAATTTCAGCATCATCCAATTTCAGCATCATCCCTGACATTACTTAGTTATACTACAATTGCATTAGTATTTACTGCTCAGGTATAAACTAAAATTAACAAGCCTACCAAAGCCAAATCGGAATTAATATGTTACCGTTGCGGTGAAATAGAACATTTCACTCGAGATTGTATATTGGAAAAGAAGCCTAAAGAATCGAATCTATGACCAAAACAACAAGATAATAGTCATTCTAAGAATATTAGTTATATTGATACTGAATACGAACTGGAAGACAACAAAGAAATAGTATATGTTACTTATAATTTTAGATCTCAACTATATACAAAGAATAGAAGAAAAGCTAAACAAAAGCAGATAGAATCATATAAAGAACAGCAATATTAGAATATAGTACCTAAACTACAATCATCAACAAGTGTTCCAATAGATGTAGAAAAGAGTCAGACACAACCTCAACAAATCTCTGTAGTATAACCCAAAAAAATAATTTAGAAATGGTTACCATCAGTAGTAGATAAATTGGATCTATATAATATATTGAAAGATTTATTGAATACCAGAGCTAACACTATATATGGACAAATACTTCAATATCCAAATCAGCAATGAAATTTGGCAAAAGTATTAAGAAAAAAAAACCCTCAACTACTAATATCAGCAAAATTTTTAAGCAAATATATATCGATATATAGCAGTTAATTGATATATATCGATTAAAAATTATTAATATATATTGATTAACTGCTATATATCGATATATATCACTAACAATAAATAGCAATTATTGATATATAATGATTATAATCACTATCGATTAATAATTATTTTATAAAATTTGACCAATTTTTTTAAACTTTAATATTAATTTTCTTGATAACTATTAATCCAAATCAGCTTAAATTTTTACTATATATAGTATATATATTCAACTATAATATATTAAAATTTCAGCCAATTTGAATTAGTAGTTCTTGAGAAATCATTTAAAAATTAACTATCATTAATAAACAATTTCCCAAGAACTATAATTTCAAATTGGCTAAAATTTTACTATATTATAGTTGAATATATATACTATATGTGATAAAAATTTGAGCCAATTGGGATTGATA